TCCCTTCCCTTCCCTTCCCTTCCCTTCCCTTCTTTTCTTCTACTAAAGAAGATTACTTTAGAATTGAATTACAGAAGTTGCTGAAAGCTGAATAAATATTTATCAGATCACTTTTGCCATAGTTGTCGAAAATAGATGCAATTCTGGCTTAACATTCAGCATCAATAGTAATGGAAAAATAAAAATAAAATAAAAATACACTTTTACCAAGGGAATTGATAGGTTTATTTGGACCAAATTCAAGTTCAGGATCTAAAAGAAGAAATTTATCTCTCAGGATACCTGATTCATGTGCCTGACATAACATTTGCTTAGATCCCTTCATCTTTTTCACAGCTCCAGACCACTGTGCTCTCAGTTATGTGGGACTCCTCCTTTCTTCCCTATATCTTTTCTGGAGGAAGCCAACTCCCCGCTAACGTACTTCACACCTTTTCCCCAGAGTGTTCCACATAGCAGCTCCACAATCTGCCTCCTCAGGAAATTACCCCTAAGCCCCCACTGCTTCTGTTTTGTGAAAACAGGAAGCACAATGATAAGCAGAAATCTCACTGAGCATTCCTTTTCACATAAAGTGGGCTAGGATTTCACATGCACAGCAACAACAAGATTAGGTGAAGTATAGTTCTAGTAGCACACAGAGGCAAAAGAGACATTGAAGGAATATATGATATACAAGCTTGCATGACCCTTAAAATTCCTGATTTTACTGTAACATTGAGTTGTTAACTCTTGAGCACAGAGCTTATGACTGAGAGACCATTAAATAATAATAAAGTCCTGTTTTTAACAAGGGTTTGTAAGAAGGCAATTAACACATTTTCTGAAAAAGCAGAATTATTATTTTTCCAATATTTCATTCTAATAAAAATGATATATACAGCAAGGAGATGATATATTCATGTTTGTTGCTTTTTTTTTCACCCCAGATTGGATTAAAGCCATTTATCTTACTTGGTACCATCTTGAATATCAGTGCCAAAGTGGCAGCAATAAAATAAACAGTAGAGTATCAGCATTTAGTAAATTCTGCCAGACTTGAATGCTTGTTTTCTCAAAAATAAAATTTGAAATCTGTATTAAAATGAAAGATGTATGTTTTTGTTCATTACTGTGATAACAGCACAAACTGTGCTGAGGAGAGTTTAACCACGCTGCTTCGGAAGTCTTAGGAAGCACTTGATAAGTTGAGCAAAGATAACAGATCAGATTTTGAAAATGGAGTTTGATTAAATATTAAAATAAACTTCCCTGCTTCACCACCATGCACTTTTATGGATTATGTGATACAAATGTGAGTACAGTTCTTATGAACAGATAGTGAAAGAGGTGTTGTTCTTCTCATGTGTACCACTGCCCCAAAAAATCTGTTAGTCATGCTTGTTTTTTGTCCCAATTTGTAGTAATAGAAGGAGACAGAAAGAACAGGGAAAGGAGAAGAGACAGTCTAAATCAGCAGATTAGACCAGGTCAGTGTCCTCTGGGCGTCCAGTCCAGTAGCCTAGCTTAGAATTTGGAGTCTTTTCTAACATCATGTCACACCTTCACCTGTCTTCCCTCAGAATATTACAAAGGTTGCTAAATTTTAAGAAATGCTGGCCAAATCAGCTTTCACAACAGCATGTACTGAGCATCTAGTTCACTCTCAGTTTACAAAGCTACAAAGATCTCAAATACCCATAGGTACAAGATCTTGCTCTAAGACATGACAGTCTAATTGGCCTCTGTTTTTCAGGGGCTTTCTGTTAGTGAGGTAGAAAGAGAAGCAGAATTATAATAATTCTAGTCATTGTCATAAAAGATGTGAAAGAGAAGGCATGTGTGAGCAGTTGGAGACTGCCATGGAACATGGGCAATGGGTCATGGAGAAGCTGTAGATTCCAGCTGGGAAAGCTGAAGGGAAGGACAGTTTTGTTGAATATCAAAATAAACTTATGCTTCCCTGCTTCACTACAACAACCTGTTAAGGAGTTGGAAGGATCTTAAGTGGAGTTATGGTGAAATAGATAGCTATTTGTTACTTTTGAAATAGTTGTAAATGAGTTGAGAATAAAGAAAATCAATGCACTTGAGTTCCTCAAAGTAGAAGATTTTTAGTGATGTTTAAGAGCAGGATTCTGTTTCAGAAATTTGTAGAGTTTTTTTTTTTTAACTTATTTCAGACACTGTTTTCTGATTTTTTTTTTTTAGGCTTCTATTTCACAATTTATTTGAAAACTGATGGGAATTTCTGTTTGTTTACTTCATGAATTTTTACCTTCCCCACAGTGGTCGATACAGTGGTTGCTATTCCCTATGGAAGCAGACATATTCGCCTCGTGCTGAAAGGACCCGATCATTTATGTAAGTAGAAAAAGTGTGCATTTGTTTAAGAAAGCCTTGCAAACCCGCAGTGCTCTGTTTATAGTGTGGTGTCTGGTTTCCCTCTCTGAAATCAATGATTTCGACACAGGGGTGAGTCCTGCCCTCAGAAGCTCTCCCTGGACCCAGTTACATCACTGATGCATGCTAATTTCAGAGCAAAGCCTGGCCAACATTTCAGAATCCTTTTCTCCTTGATAATTTTTCCATAATTTCTGTTTGCTTATCCTTTGGCTGGCTCACTTGGTGCCAAGTTCCTTTGTTTAAAATTAATAAAATATATCCCACAGAGTGAAGAAATATTGAGGACAGTAAAGTATAAGCTTCCCTACAGCCGAGCTTAGCCATCAGCTGCTCATGACTTTAACACATGTTTCTGTTATGATAATCTCTTTCACTCCAGTAGATACACAGACACAGAGAAAATTACAGTGAGAAGATCAACAGCAGCATGCAGATGTCAGACCATGCACTTTAGGAGTGATGTTGCTCCAGAGAGTGAAGCCCCTTGACTGCTACTAGCCCATCATTTGGTAGCTATAACACATTTTCCCTACTTTGCCTGACATGGAGCTGTGCATCGCAGAAGCCCCTCTGGGAGAAGAGTTTAAGTATTTGAGAGTCTACAGGAAGAGCTGAAGGCAAATCCATTTCTTTCCTGGATAGAAACTCCCTGCAAAAGAAACTCTTACTTTCCAATGCAGTAGCTATTCACAAACTGCTTTTTTTTTCATTGGCAGCAAACACAATAGTGTTAGTAAAAGGGATTTGCTGTAAGGAAAAAAAAAAAAAAAAGCCACAAACCAATGCCTTCGGACAGTACTGCGTAACATCTCAGAAGCACAAATTATTGTCAGGCAAATAGGACTGCCTTTCTCCTTTTCCAAAACTCAATAATGCCTTTTCTGCAGCAAGGACCAGTCAGAGCCCTATCTGCTTATCAGTGTAAATACAATCATGAGAGTCAGCAAAATCACAAAATCATTCCCAGACTTCTTTTGCCCAAAGTACTTACACAGAGTGGAAAGATAAGGGGTGGTTTTTCTGTACTGCTCAGTGTACAGTGCTTGTGTTGAGAAAGTAATAAAAATGCCATAATCCTTTAATGATTGTTTTGATTTAAAGCTATGAATAATGATCAGCAAATTACAGTTTATAAATTAAGAAAAAATATGTAATGTTTTTCTTCAAAGATTTGCATGTACTTCAGTTTTAAGTAGCCCTCTGGGCACACCAGCACTCTTCCAGTATGGCTGTTATTACTATCCCAGTAAACGGTTTGCATTCTTATTTTCTCCCCTCTCTTTTTTCTTGGTATAGACATTCTCTTCCTAGGTAGAAAAAAATTCCTTTTTTTCTGCTTTTATTTTTTTTTCCCTTGTGAAATTGACCTGTAAGACAGTTTAGAGAGAGATGAGAATGCAGGACAGTCTAACCTAAAGCTGTCTGCACTCAGGCCATATCACGTTTCAGGACAAATAAGATTTGAATCAGCAAGGTCTGCCTGAGTCATTGCTTAAGATTTAGATGAACTGCTCTCTGTAAACATGAATAAGTCCAGATACGTCTCTTTCTTGTTTCAGACGTCTCCATGAATCTTTCAGTTCAACCATCAAAGGATTTTATATATGTATGAGCTACAGTCTATTTGGGGATGGGAGTATTTTGCCCCATGAACTTTGGTTGTGGGAGAAGTCAACAGGAGGCCAATTACATATACACAAGTCTTAAAACCATCTTTATCCCTGGTGCATGCAGTCCTGTCCAGAAATAACTATAATGCCAAGTGTGTCACAAAGCAAGAGACTAGTCTTCCTGAAAACCAAGGAATTCATTAATATGGAGCAAATTCTTACTGACTGCCTCGGCAACATCCTTCTTGAGTTAATTCCCATGACCCATCCTGGAAACCAGCTTAATTACTGCTGTTATCTTCTTTTCCTTGTAATTGACAACTTAATACATGCTGATGAAACTATTTCTCCCATTTACACTCTCTCAAAATATTGTTCCATCACAGATTAATAGTATGGCCCCATCTAGAAAATTTTGTGTATAACTTCACAAATACATTTGAAAGGATTACAGCTTTTCATGACAAAATGCACCTTCACTTTGAATAATTATACAAAACAGCTTATTGGTGGACATGCTTTAGGGAGTACTCTGAACTTGATGCGAAGATAAACTTGATGATGGACCAGGTCCACACTGTGATTGTTAATTTCCATTTCAGAAATGATTTATGTAATCGCTAATTTAAGAAGAAAATCTACATCATTACCCTACCATTTTTATTTATTTATTCTGTTCTCAGTTACTGTTGTTTCGAATTATAATGCTCTGGATTCTTGTTAATTTGTTTGCATTTGTCAGATTTGGAAACTAAGACTCTCCATGGTGTTAAGGGTGAAAACAACCTCAGCTCCACAGGTTCCTTCATTGTGGACAATTCCAGCATTGACTTCCAGAAGTTTCCAGACAAAGAGATACTGAAAATATCTGGGCCTCTCACTGCAGACTTCACTATCAAGGTGAGGGTCATCAACCAAATGTGCTTCTTAAAGCAATATAAAATGACAAACGACACAAGATGTAGTAGAGAGATAAGAATTTTTTTTGTTTTGTTTTGTTTTGTTTTGTTTTGTTTTGTTTTGTTTTAATTTTCCAGTAGATACTTCCCACAAAGCCAAATCCAGTTTGGTTATTGAATTCTGTTTGTAATTCTTCATAACTAATTATCTGATGAAAGCTTCATTGAACACTCTCAGAGAAGAGACCAAGATGAACTCACTGCAAGAAATGTCAGATTACTTTAGAGATTGTATGCAGTTTGCTTAACAAATAGAAAGAAAGTCCATTATTTTTGTCCATAATTTGTGGGATTTATACCAGTGTAATTACATAAAAGACTATTAGAGAGTGGAGAATGGGATCCCCAACTTCCAAAGTAAGTGGGGTGACTTTGATAGGAAAGTCATTGTGTCATTTCAGAGTTCTGCTTTGTGTTTTGTTGGTAATAAGAATCAAATTGTTTCCTCCCATTAGACCATTTCTATTCTTCCAGGTAATATAAAACACATTGCTGGAAGCAATGCACACATTCCGTAGGAAAACACATACAAAAATGAACAATTGGGAATTACAATAAAATAAATTCTTTTCCAGTAGGTCCAAAGAACCTGAAGGATTTCAGCTGTAAAACTGTAAAACCTATATCATGTCCAGGACTACATAGGTTTTTACCATGGGCCCCAGAGGTAGATGATATTTGCTTTAGCCTAAAGATGATGGCAGCTAGCAGTTTGAACAGTAAACTGCAAAATTCAGTAGTTCATGGGATTTGGCTGAGCATAGAATTTATCATTTTGAGTGTGAGCAGAGCCCTGTGGACTGTCCTTTACCCCTCTTGGTATGATAGCAGCACAGAAATCAAGCAGAAATTATCAGGACTAGTTCTCAGAGAGAGCCTGACCTGAAGAATGCAATCTTTTTACTTCAATTCAGAATGACCATGCTTCAATAAAACGTATGCTGATCACCTCAAAATATCCAAAATACTGTACTACAGATTATACCCATATTGAAAAATAGTGATGTAAACAGTGCTGCTTACTTTTCATTACTTGGGCAGCTATGGATTAAGACTGCCTGCTTAGTTAAAGCATACCTGTTGCTGTGGACCAGAGGCACTGAAATGTTATCAAGGGGGCAGGACTGTGATTCTGGTGTTTACACTGTTCTCTTGCATGAGAGGGGGAAATAGCTTTATCCCTTGAAGCAAATCCTTCTCTATCAAAACAAGGTAAAGTACTGAAAAATTAGATGAAAGGCTTTACTGTGGTACTAGCAGGATATTTTTGGTCTGAAGATCTACTTGCCTGAAAAACAGTTTTTATGTAAACAGATCTAGATGAATTTGTGGCTGGATCAGAGCTGTGATTTGAGTGTCGTTATCTGCAGAATCACTGTTGTTCATTCTTTTTTGTTTAATCCGAATGTTCTCATCCAGTGAGGTCAAGTATACCTGGAAACAGCTCAAAAGTAGATTTGTAGTTTATTTGTAATGTAGAATGCTTTAAAATTGCAAGAAGATTCTTCATGCTGCTCTTGCAGGATCTGAATTGTATATCTGCTAAAATTCTTGACTTTGTGTTCTATACACCTTACAGTCTTTTCACAGGAGGTGTAAATAGTAAAAACAATTTAGTAAAACATCAGCTCTTTTTTTTTTTATGAAGGTGTTTTTTGTTGTTGTTGTTGTTGTTTTTTCCATTAAAAATTATCGGTTTTCATAAAATGTTGGTGAAATGAAGTTCAGTTTCACTTGGAAGTCTTGCTGACAGTGTGGCCTAGAGAACAGAGTAGAAATATCACTTAGTGAGTCTTGCGTTTCTCTGTCAGAACTGCTATCAATCTGTGTTTTTACCAAGGTCACATATTCATGTGTCTGTCCTGAAAAGCTTCCTCTGTCTGTACAATCTGATTCAGACAGAAAATAGAGAATCATGGAGTCATCACTTCCTTTTACATATCTGCAGAGTGAATTAAAACTGTCAGATGGGGTCTACAGACAACAGTATAAATTACTGACTGATTATTTAAACAACCAGCACTGTGAATTTGAACCTCTTGAGGTAGAGGATTGCTGAAACAGGGATTGCCAGGGAAGAGTTAGGGTTGGCAAAGCACAGGCTGTTAGGGTTTGTGTTACGATCTACATCAAAGTAGTTAGTGTCCTAGCCCTATGTTGGTTAAGTGTTGGTTAAGGTCTTCCACCAAAAGAGGCTACCTGGCCATATTTTGTGCTGGTTCTAAGGGTGTCTGCCTATTTCAGAGATAGTTTTGACTGTCTTAAGCAGAGCTACTGCTGAGACTAGGATTTTGCTGCTAGTTGTCCAACAAACCGTAGTTAAGATAAAGGTTGAAACTGGATGTGGAATTACAATGAACACTAGTCCCATCCATTTAACTCTTATTTCAGTTGTGGTCCAGACAAGCAGAAAGTACTGGTGAAAGAGGTTCATTTGATTAGAGTCTAGGTTAGCAAACAAAAAACATATTGGGGCTTAGTTTAGACTTCCTGGGACCTGCAAGGGCATGTAGGAGATCACACAGGTACATGCCAGCTGGCAGATGCTTTCGGACTCCATGGCTAGGGCCAGGACTGGATTAAATAATATCTTTTGAACAAGGAGTGATTTACCTTGCTTAATGAAAGAAAAATGTTGAAGGAACTACTCCTGCAAACTCTGATAGATTAGGGTTAGGATGTCTCTTTTATGAGCTAAAATTCAGTCTTTGTGAACAGAAATAATGAGAGCTAAAAGCTTAATTGCGGCTAAGTTGTATTATCTGTCTTCAGCGGAAAATGACCTAAGAACTTTGCTGAACCATGGGATAGCCCACTGGAATATGGTCATTTCATCATAAAACTATACTACTTCTTGTCACTTGCTAAGGTCATTTCTCTAGAGTGAAAACTGCAGGAAGTAACTCTTCAACAAGGCCTGCACAACTGGCTTTCATCAATCTGTGTTTCATTTCAGTACTTTTTTTTTTTTTTAAAACCTATAGTGTAGTTTCCCAATTTCCAAAAATAATACAACTTTTGTAATAATTTCTAGGTCAGGCCCACACATAATGACAAGCCTAAAAGGCAACTTAAAGTTTATTTATCTTGACTAGATAACCCTTGTGATAAATTTAGAAAAGTTATATATTTTTTCTCCTGTTACTGCAAATGTGGCAAAATGCATGGGAAACCATGTAGTAATCTTCCAAAAATTATGTATAATTTCTGTTTCACACTCACCTTTGTTTCTGATTCAATATAAATGATTTCATCTAATAGTTCTTTACGTGATTATTCTCCTAGTCTACACATTCCATTTAATCTGTATATTACGGAACTGCAGTACTAGGTCAAGTAAAAAGTGTGCTTCACTCGTGTTTCTGTTTCAGAGGACTGGTTTCATCTTCTGAAAAGACAAGTTCTAGAAACAGATCAGAGTTACCCTCTATTTTGCAGATTCTCCCTCTTGGTCCTTATGTTGCATTTGTTTAGCTATTTTTATTAACTCAAATGAGACAGTCCTTCAGGAATCTTTTACAGAGAATTTGTCCTTTTTACAACGTCTAGTTTGTGTTTTAGTTTGTGCTTTAGTTCCTCAATGAATTCACTTCATCGTGTAAAATAAGGGACATGTCTTATTTTAAATCTTAGTTGTAATTTTACTGACTCCATCTGTTTTCCCAGTCTATGAAACAGTAAATGATTATTACCTTTCCCCTTTCTCTGTGACTCCTCTATTTGAGACCTATATCATATCATGTATCTCATTCCTAATCTGAAGTATCCTACCACAATTAATTTCTCCAACTATCTATCCTGGTGCATACAATGATTGTCCTTATTTTCCTAATCTGTCCTTTTTTCTATTTCCACTGTTATGTTTATATATTCATAACTTTTTAATGATATGCATAGAAATGGAACTGTTGTTTAACATCAAATCAATGTGCAGTTTGATAAAATATGAAAATAATTGTTTATTTAATTAAGTGATTTAAATGATAAATATTTACGCAACTATTTAGGAACATGCAGAATTCCAAATGTCTTCATTCAAAAATCTGAACTACTTTTTTTCCACTTCTTAGAATCAATCTTCTATCCTTATACTCCTCAACTACTACTAGTGAAACTTCATGACCAGTGTCATGCTGAGCAATTACTGTTAAAATACCTTTCTCTCTCCAATGATTTTCAGCCAGGGGACATGAGAAAGACTGTACTACAATAAACTTTTTATGATCCCAGCAAGGAAAATAATGAAATATCAATATATTAATCTGTAAATCTATAAACATACATCATAAGCACATCATATATGTTGATTTGGAAGGTACTCCTCATCCTCATAGCCTCTACTTCATTAAAAAAGCATATGAGAAGCAAGTAACACTCCATTGGGCAGCCATAGCTGGGAAAAGAACCTACTAATCAAAGAATGAGTTCTGCAGAGTAGGACCTTTGAAGTGTTCTCAAAGTTTCACTTTTTACTACTGTGCATAATTTTTTTTCAGTAGCAAACTTGTTCAATTCACTGTCAATCCTTTATTCTATTCATTCAGGAATCTGGCTAACAGTATATGTCCTAGCATGCATCTCTGTGGGACTCCACAGTCCTTCTGCCACTATAAAAGCAGGCTGAATGACCTTTCTCTTTTGCCCAGGAATCAGTCCATGGCAAGATCTAATTATTTCATGTGAATTTTCATTTGACAAGGGAACAAGAAAAGTCCTGTCTCAAAGGATTCCTTGGTGAAGTAGATTGAGAAGCTTGGACAGCATCACTCTTCTCAGAGACCTATCTTTGAGTTCTGCTCTTTTTTTTAATTCCACCTATAAGCCTGGTACATGGGTAGAGATTACTGGTCTCATGAAGCATCTTCTAAATCTTCTGTTAAGATTTTCTGTCTTGCTTTGGTTTAAACAATAGCTCTTTCAGGAAAGTAAGCTAAATGCGTCATACATGATTTCCATTCTTGTATTCTTCAGAGGTTACATGGTACTACTGAGTGAATGCTTTTTGTATCTGGAGATTTGTTACCCTTAATCTTACATTCGTGTTTAAAATATTGCTGGTCTAAAATCTACCTTGACATTTTCATTTGACACAGTAGAGACAAATATTCATTTTCTATTGTTTTGTCAAGATGTATTGTGTGTTTTTTTCTGGTATCCTTTAAATTTTCAAAATTGTCAGTTTCAAAAATCAATGACTTTTAAGTAACATAATACTTTGATGCCATTTTTTAATCCTTTTTCATCATTATAAAAAAATATTTTTGTGGCAAATATTGCCTTTTAACTTTTTACTTTTCATTTTTGTGAACTATATATCTCAATAGGATTTTAATTTTTTACATTAATTTCTTAGATATTGCCATGGTTAAATTATTGGTAATAAATATTCTGCAGTACAGACTAAGCATATTCAAGCTGCATTCTTTTATATGACTAATGTGATGTTAGTGGTGAAATGTTTTTTCCATGGGAGAGTAGGGTGTTAACAATAGTATCCACAAATTTAAGAAGAGATGCATCAGGGCAGGTTTTGGAATATTTGGCTTTGCTCTTGTTGTCTCCTCATTTCAGAAGCTTCTGCTTCTGTTGTCACTAGAGTAGTGAATTCTGTACAGATTATCATAGTTGATAGAAGTAGTAGCTAATCCAGTAACCTTTATTGCTGACAGCTATGCTAGCCAATTAATTGCATTGGCTTTTGTCTAGTTCTTCTTTTGGAAGGAATTCAGTTAAGATTTGAACCTTGAAAAAATTCTGTTTCTGTTTTCTGAGTATTACTTTAAAGGCTTTTTACAAATCATCGTATCAACCTAAAGGTGACCTTATCTACCTTAATCCTAGGTTGGAGCATGGTAAGCAAATTTGATTCAGAGATGTAGTCCATGGTAAATTGGAGACAATGTAATTTCACTGTGATTTCTCTATCTGGCCTAGAACCTGGATGGAGAAGTGGCAGAGAAAGCTGTCTTCCACTTAAAAACAACACAGGGCTGTCATGATCAAGAGATATAAATCCAGAAATGTACAGTACATATGTTCCCTGGAGCAAAAAGTCGAGAGTCTTTTCAGCACTCCAAGGCAATTAAAAGTCTAATTCAGAGGAATCATGGTGCCATCTTCTGTTATTGTGTTACACAATATGCTTGAAAAACTTCAGCATCTCTCCTTGTGTCTGTTATGTCATTTGAAACAAGCCTGTACAATTATTTTCCCTGACTCCTTTTTTGGCTTCAAGAACAAAACATGAACAGCAGCAAAATTCTTGCACGTCCTCTTTTCTTTTCAATGTAAAGTGTCACTGCATGAGAACAGGAATATCAAAGCACGCTAAGCAGAGAAAGTATTGTACTAAAGCTTTGGGTTTTCTGACCCAGCACAAAGCACAGAATTACATATGCCACAAAAGGACAGTTCTCCATGCTCTCATCCCCAGTTCCTTTGTATGTTATCTTAGAAGATTTCAACATTAAACTTGGCACTAATAAATCACACCCGAAGATTTGGGATTTGGCACTTGCAGAAAATATTTGTAATAATAATGTGGAAAAACCATTTAAGTTTCCTAATAAGCATGTTGGCCTGGAGTTAGATCATAATACACTAGATCAAGTTTCATAAGACAAAGGACAATATGCAGTAATAACCCCTTCCCTGTCTCCTAGTTTAGGACACACACTAGGAATAAGGGATACATTTTCTCCCTCCCCAGTACAAGAATTTTGTTAAATGTGAAAATATTTCTGAGTACACTTATCATGGATTGACCCCACAGTTAACATTGATAGTTTCTTGTTTATCCCTGCTGGTTATAAACCGCTGATTAAATTTGACAGTCACCAAAGCAAACAACTATTGTGTTCTTCAGCAAATGCAGATAAATGGTTCAAGCACATGCTGCCAAAATCAAGCATGGAAGGGCTGGGTTTGGTGGCTGTTGGTGGTGGTTTTGCTTCTGGTTGCTTTTTTGTGGGTTTTTCTTTTTGTTTGTTTATTTGTTTTTTGTTTTGGTTTGGTTTTTTTTTTTTTAATGGTTTCTTTATGTGAATTGATTGAATTTAGAGGCTTCGAGAGAAAGTTAATATAATACAAAGATTAAATCAGGTATTGCAGTTATGGTCACAAGAGTGCTCAGAATGATTCAAAAACATTATGCTGCCTTTTTATTTCAGATCAGAAGTTTGTTGCTTTCATTAAATATTCTGTGATTATCCCTCAAACCGGTACTGTTTTTTATCAGTTCCAAACATTGGCTGAGCAACATCTTAGACCTTTTGTGGTGCCATTCTAGATAATCTTTTACAAAATCCATTATAAAAAAAAACAGGTTACAAGCTATGATTTTTTGGAAGTATCTTTACAAGAAAAAAGTATATCTCTAGTTGCTAGTTGCAGTAATTTTAGACAGCTAATTTTTGATGGATAGACTGAGGACTGCGATTTAAACTAGCTCTTATAAGACTTTTGATATTCTTGGTGTTACAGATTGAGGGATGTGCTGTTGTTCTGAGCACTCCCAAGTTCCCTGAAACCTGGAAATCGAGGATGCTCCCCAGTGGATTGCAATGCCTAAATGTAGGGCTGATTGCTCTACAATCTGAGTTCTGCTGATGTCTGCTATCAATATGTTTAGACAGGATTTTATTTGCAAGCAAAATTAATGCCATTTTTTCTGGATCGGTGACCCAATGGCATAAGGATTCAACACTCACTGTGATAGTAAGAGGACTTTTTCAGCACTGGCATTTCTCATATCTAGCAGTGTGTTGCAAATATGGCAAGGGTCAAAACTCCAGATCTGAGTATTTCAATGTGTGAAAGCTAGCCTTGTGCAGCAAAAATTTCTTAAAGCACATAGCTGTCAAATGTCACATTCAGTCTTGCAAAGCTTAGGCTGATGTTTTGCCCTGGATCAAGATCTTAGCTTTAGAAAACTGTCAAACAAAATTGAAAAAGACATTTTTGCTGCATGGAATAACCATTTATTGTTCCTGTTCTGCTTACAGTATTCCTTAAAAAAATAAATGATACGGTGCCTGCTTATTTCACTTGCTTGTTCTGTATCATTTTAGCTCATAGCTATGGTTTTTTGCAATTCTTTCCTGCCTATGTTGTTATCATGGCCATATGAGTGACTTCCACCTGGAAAATATGGACTTCTGTCTTTTCTCTCTGTTGGAACTGACAGATACTTCTGCAGACACACCGGAATAGTCTGCAGGGAGATAAACTCTTTTGAATTCCTGATTTTTTCACGTGAACTCTTTTTCATCTCTTTCCTTTTATAGTAAGCTCTATGTGAGCTCTCAGTCTGTTCTTCATGATTCAGTGAAGACCCTATTACTGAGTACATCTTCTCAGTTTAAGACTCACTGATGATCCTTAAAAAACAAAGGGTAAGAGCAGAATTCTCCCCAGTCAAGTCTTTTTCTGCACACTTAGATATGAGACCTCCCTGAATGGCTTCCAGCACAGCAGAACATTTTTCCCAGGAGTGCATGAGGCTTTCATGAGCCCAGAAAGACCCTTCTGAATTGTGTGATTAATGCACTGTCCTCACACAGGGAATTAGATATCCTGTTTCTGACAGACAAACTTATTACGATATTAAGCCATGCAGAAGGCCTCCCATTTGCTGAAGAAGCTGTATTGCTACAGCTGTATTTTTTTTTTTCCTGTTGGGAGTATACGTCACTGTTTAATTAGAAAAGGGCAGCCTTAGTCTCAGCGGGCCAGATCTCTTTCAGCCCTCAACATATTCTGCAGTATTTTCATCTTCTTCCCTCTCTTCAAATTTTACTTTGATTTGTAGTCATGTTTCTGTCCATCTACAGAAGAAAACAAAACAAACAACCAGATTATACTGTCAGACCAATTTGTCATATTTTTGCTTCTGTTTTTCAGTCTAGATTTTCATGATGTCTCTTTGTTTTTGGAAAGAAAGAAAAGTAAGGACAGATTGAAAGCAATGTTTCCTAAACAATGCAACTTGTTGAAAATGTAGAAAGAAGGCAGTACTGAAATACTTTTAAGTTCTCCTGAAAAGAAAAAAAGAGAAAACATAATGATAAAATACTACTGAGAGCAGGAGTTTGGTGTTAATATTTGGTTCACTTTTTATCTTTGCATCTTTTTCAGATTGCCTATGTTGGTGCTGCTGACAGTTCGGTCCAGTTTATCTTCTATCAGCCTATCATTCATCGATGGAGAGAAACTGATTTTTTCCCTTGTTCAGCATCCTGTGGAGGAGGTAAAAATTTACCACTGTATTCCAGAAATAGTCATATACATGTAATATCTGTTCCAGCTTCTGAACTAAGTCCTTTAAAATAGGCAAAATCTATGCATGAAAGTATTTACAGCTAAGGAAGGGAGAGGTGTAATAACAATTATAGTATTCTTTGCATTTTTTGTGTAGTTTGGACTCTGTACTTAATGCATTTGAATATCCACATGATCACACTTCATGCTACAGCTGTCAGACATAAAGGATTTATGGGATTTGGACCCATCTGGAGTCACTGGATGTCTCCCTTCTTCATTTCTCACTATCACTAATCAGCAGCTTTACCCTTCTGAAATGAAACTGCATGTAAGATTCTCAATGTGCAATAAATCTCAGACTTTATTTTTTCTTTTTGTTTTAGATTTCTGATTTTGTATATGACCATAGCTGTTACCTTTGGTTTCTTACTGCACGTAATTTAGAGCAGGCAAGATCATGTTTGTTCAGTGTCTGCTACATCCTCCTAACATTTTGAGAAGAACGTCTTAAACATCTGAAGAACATGCCTCTTAATAAAATGGATGCAAGTTTTTGCATTACATTTAAGCACATCCTGTGACCAGTTAGGAGGAGATCTGAAACTACAGAAATCATCAGCATTAGTGACTATTTATCATTTGATCCAGCATTTTACCTATTTAACATTTGAATATTTTATGATGTGTGAATTTTTGTAAATGAAACTGTTGTTTTTAACCTTGTCTGTAAAATTGTAGCTGCTGTGTCCAAAATCATGCATATTTTCAGCTAGCCTTTTACGAAACCAAAACTTAGATGTATTTCAGGCAGAAACAAGAAAAACACTACATCACATGTTATTTCTTCCACTGTGCATTGCAGGTTATCAACTGACTTCTGCTGAATGTTTTGATCTGAGAAGCAATCGGGTAGTAGCAGATCAATACTGTCACTATTACCCTGAAAATATCAAGCCAAAGCCAAAACTTCAGGAATGTAATCTGGATCCTTGTCCTGCAAGGTCAGTTGGTTCTAATCTTAAGAGTCCAATTTAAAAATGTAAAGTTAAGAAAATATTTTGTTGCTAGTGTTGACTATGTCATTCAACCTTCTTCTTATCCTCAGGACCTGTTCTGTAGAAAAAGATCTTAGTTAAGCACCTGCACATTACTAGAACTGGATTTGCAATTGGTTGTTTCTTCCCCACAGATTGCATTTTGCCTCATTAATCATAAAGTGAGAGGAAAGAAATTGACTATCATCAACACACATCTCTTAGGTCTTAGTGAAATCGGGTAAAAATGTTGTTGGAAAATGGTTGTCATCACAATTAGAGGAATCAGAGGTGTTCTTTTTTAAATTATTATTATTCATATATATGATTTCTTCTTGATAAAAAATATACTTGCAGTCGTGGCAGCTTGTAAAAAACATAACATAGGGATTTGTTGCAACTTGGGCCTGTGCACAAGACCCTCTCCACTTCCATGCCAAACATTCTTCCTCAAAAGATTAATAGTAAAAATATCAAGACCATGGAGGCAGGTTTCCCGTGTATAAGAAGAGGAACAAAACCACAAAAAGGACTGGTCTTTTGTTGCACTGACTACCCTGAACTTCAGTAGAAATCAGTCTGTAACCACTCGCAAACCGCAAGCATTTATTTGTGTAATCTAAACCTCTTGGTCCTCTTGTGTGGCTTTGCTAAAAGACATTTGAGGGCTACTCAGCAAGCGCACATGAAGAAATGCCCATTTATTTATCTCCTTTCTCTCTAGAATAGTTCTGTGTCAAGTTTGATAAAGAGTTCACAATCAAATGTCACATGAAAATATGTTATAGCCCTTCAAACTACTGGGGGTTGCCATAAGAAAAAAAAAGTAGCCAGGAGAAGAAGAACGCTTTTAGAGACTTCTGGGATGATGTGTCTACCTGACTAGGGTAATTTCTTCCCATAACCAACTGTAACAGCTTCAGACTAGGTAAGCGTTATGACGTTATCAGAGCAGAACAGACCTGTCCAAACTCAAGATTTATTTTACCTCTTCTAACAAGCTTGCATTAAAGTTTGTTTTCATAACTATAGATAACACTCAGGTTTATCCATCACTACAGATACATTAAACTAAAATGTATGGCAGTTTATACTCCTTTTCTCTAGTAAATGCATTTTTAGTGGCAGCTCTTGTTGCAACTAATCAAAAGCTACAATTGTTATCATACAGTTAGAAGTGAAAATCTCCTCAAATTAAGAAGTGGAAATACCAAATCTCAAAATTCAGTATTGTTTCATTTGTATTGCACATTCTTTAACTTACATATTTTATCATCTATTTCATTAGGAAGCCTTAAGTATATCACATAAAGAATGCAACTTTAATAGGGCTTGTGAAAAGCATTTGCTGTTGAGCATGTAGAGATTGCCTACTCACAATGCAACAAGACTATTTTTATTTAGCAGTGTTCTGCCCAGTTCAGTATTTAGTTTCACTTGTTCTAGTTCATTCCACCAAGTATACGTATATATATATAATATAATACAATATAATATAATATATGTATATGTAAAAAAGATTTTTCTGGTTACTTAAATATATTAATAATTCCATTTAGAAACTTTACTGTAGAAAAGACCCTATATGTTTTCCTTGGTGGTTTTCTCAAATCAAAAATGGTGTCTTTGGATTTTTTTAAGTAGATGTCAATAAGGTAGGTCTGATCAGGGAGACATATGTATGAGTGCCTCTGAAAACAGGGTTGCTGAAAGATGTGAATTAATATGAAATCTGTCTTTAAGATTCACCTTTCATGGTAGGTAGCAGTGAGAAAACAATTTTTTGTAGCTTTTTCTTTTCTTAAAGCCTAAGTTGCTTTGTTTTGTTGTTTTTTTTTTTTAATACAACTCTGAGTCAAATACACTATTTGCCTCAGGAATTTGTACTAAGGATTGTTTCCATACTTTTCCCAATAAATTTAAATTATGTGTGTAAACGCTAAGACAACTGCATAGAGGAAAAAAGAAAAAAATAACTTCTGGGCAGATTTCAGGAAGTGATTTTTGTTTTATATAAGACATACCAGGGCAAAGTTGTTGATATAAAGACCCTGAGGGGAAGGAAAGTCATTTAGAAGCCCAGCTCTGCCATTCCGGGGTACAGGCAGTAACAGGAAGCAATTGGCTTTTTGGAAATATCCTCACAGAATGCCAAATTGCAAAACGTTATTTTCAGAAGTGTCTTTGTAAAGAATTCAATAACCAACAATAGACAAAAAAAAAGAGAGGAAATCTGTGGTAACTTCTGGAATCTTGATGCTTTCTTACAGTCAAGAAGAGGGTAGGTAAGGCAGAACAACAGGACTTGGATTGCGGAGGAGGAGGCATCTCAGCACTTCAGAGCATTTGCTGTGTGTCAGCCATTCTGCCCTTCCAGTATAAAACAAGATCATAATTCTTTTTCCTGGCAAACTTAGTTCCAGCGAGGCATATCTGATTAGTGGTTGCTGACTCTTCTTATGGTGTGTCAGTGAATGCCTCAGAAAATGATTTTGGAAGACCACAGTGACACTGAATAAAACAACCAAGACAGAGAGGTTACATAAAAATTTTCAGCAAGGAATAGTCAGAAAGGGATAATAAAATGACTACTATGACTGTCACGTAAACTTCCAATTACTTGTCTCTTTAGGCTTAGAATGTGAAAACTTTTCACTTTATTGCGCTCATTATGAAAAATAGATAACATTGCTGGCATTATGACAAGTAAAAAAAAAAAAAAGAGAACGAATGTGGAAAATGAATCAATTTTTGAGGGGGGGTGGGGGGGATGGAAATAACAGTTTTTCACATAGAGGCAAAGCGGTGAGTGGAAGATTATGTCAATTTTATCAAGTCAATCCCCTTCGATGTGGCTGCATCCAACATTCTTATTTCAGGTGTTCACTTAATTGAAGTCTTTTAACTATCCAAAACTTCACACTCTTGAGGGTTTGGAAAAGTGTTTTTAGCTGTCAACAGTATCCTCCTGACTGATACGTTCTAATGAAAGGAGAAACGATTTTTTTCTGCTCTTAGAAAAAGAAGTCTGTTCAGACTTGACTTAAATGGGTGTGCTAAAGACATACAGGGCAAATCTGACGTGCTGTAAATTGAACATACCATTCCTTTTATAATTCTAAGGCATTCCTCTAAAAAGCAATTTTCACAAATGTGTTGAAGGTTTTTATGCCACTCATCACTGTGAGGTACTCTCTGGAGTAAAATCACTGCTGCTTCTAGATTTCATGTTCAGCTTTTAGGTTGCATTCCCAGGTGCATCGTTCTTTGTTTTTACTGATCTGTTCTGTTGTTTACATGATACCTATCTCTGAAGCACATTAATATGGGCTTCTCTGAGTCACAAAAGCTCTCCTGATGTTTTTACCAGGACATTTCAATGCTGTATAAAGATTTCCAAAGGCATCTTCAGCACAGATTCTAACTCATGCAGCAGTTGTCTCACAAACTTCACAATAGCAAGCCTCTAGCATGTGTCTGTTTTGTCACTTTGCTGAAAACGCCAGCCCATTCTGCACAGGCAGTAATTCTAGAATCTTCTAGAACATTATCAGTAAGCTTACCCACAGAAATAATGGTAGAACTGGTGTGAAATTTTTGGAAAACTCTGAAGTTCAAGCAAGATTTTCAGTACTCAGAGATCTGAAAGAATTATCAAACATGCAAGGTTTGTGGAGTTCTCCAGCAAAATTGCAAGCTTGTTTTCCTTCCCATCAGAGATTTTCTTCTCACATTTTCACTTAACTATTATACTTCAGTGATTCTGAAAACACATTGTAATGTGAACATAAATGCTGTTTCTTGGCAAACTTGTGCATCATAACTTTTATACACTTCATTCAAGAGAAACAGATGTGTGAGTGGTGAGTAAATATTTATGATTAAAAGGGCAATGCAGAGTATGCTCTTAATCAGCAGCAGAGCTCTCCTCACTTCATTACAAATTGTCACCTGAATCAGAAAATTGCTAAAAGCATGTTTTTTAGTTTGTTACTCTAAAGATTTTGAAGTAGACAGCAATTAAGAAACGAGTAACACAACAGTGCAGTGTTCCTATTTTCACTAGATTATTTTTGGAAGATGAATGAAACTGGAGTGAATCCATTTGCCTTTTCCCCCATCACAGCCTTATCTCTAAATTGGAGAGATATGGATTTGGAGGGTGGGCTGTTTGGTAGATAAGGACTTGGTTGGAAGGTCACAGGCAGAGGGTAATGGTCAATGGCTCTGTATCCAGGTGGAGTCCAGAAGTGGATGACATTCCCCAGAGTACTGGGACTTTTTAGTATCTTTATCAGTGACATAAATAATGGGATCAAGTGCACCATTAGCAGATTTGCTGATGACACCAAACAGGTTTTGCACTTGGGTAGAGGTAATCCCAGATATGTATACAGCCTGGGAGAAGGACTCCTTGAGAGTAGCTCTGCTGAGAAAGATTTACGGTTCTGTAGATAAAAAATGTAAGCTAACAGTGTGAGTTTGTCAGTGCGCTTGTGGCCTGGAATGCCAGTGGTACCCTGATTTGTATCAAAAGAGGAACGGCCAACAAAGCAGGGGAGATGACTGTCCCTCTCTGCTATGCCCTTGTGAGACCTCACCTGGAATACTGTGTCTGGATCTGGAGCCCTCAGCAGAGGAAAGATGTGTAGGTTTTGGAGAGATTTATATTAGATGTCAGGAGACACTTTTTAACTGAGAAGGTGGTGACGTGCTAGAACAGGTTAACCAGAGAGATTATAGGTGTCCTATCATTGAATGTATGGCCAACCCAGCCAATCTGGTCTAGCAGTTGGCAACCCTGTCTGCAGCATTGGAACCTGATTACTCTTGAGGTCCATTCCAATTCAAGCCATTCTATGATTCTATGCAGTGCTGGTGTGTCTTTCAAAAGGTGGGCAGAGCTTTATGATTTACACAGTAGCAGTCATATGTCTACAATGATGAGAGAGGTTTGAGACAGTGAC